GAACATGATTAAATCTGAATTTTATTCCCTATATATTTTTAAAATATTGCTATATAGTTACATGAGAACAGCCATACTGGGTCAGACCAAAGATCCATCTAGCCCAGTGTACTGTCTTCCGATAGTGGCCAATGTCAGGTGCCCCAGAGGGAGTGAACAGAACAGGTAATCATCAAGTGATCCATCCCCTGTTCCCCAGTCCCAGCTTCTGGCAAACAGAGGCTAGGGACACATCCCTGCCCATCCTGGTTAATAGCCATTGATGGACCTATCCTCCATGAATTTATCTAGTTCTTTTTTTAACCCCATTATAGTTTTGGCCTTCACAACATCCTCTGGCAAAGAGTTCCACAGATTGAATATGTGTTGTGTGAAAAAATACTTCCTTTTGTTTTAAACTTGCTGCCTATTAATTTCATATGGTGGCCCCTAGTTCTTGTGTTATGAGAAGGAGTAAATAACACTTCCTTATTTATTTTCTCCACACCAGTCATGATTTTATAGACCTCTATCATATCCCCCCTTAGTCGTCTCTTTTCCAAGCTGAAAAGTCCCAGTCTTATTAATCTCTCCTCATACGGCAGCCGTTCCATACCTCTAATCATTTTTGTTGCCCTTTCCCAAACCTTTTCCAATTCCAATATATCTTTTTTGAGATGGGGTGACCACATCTGCACACAGTATACAAGAAGTGGACGTACCATGGATTTATATAGAGGCAATATGATATTTTCTGTCTTATTATCTAGCCCTTTCTTAATGATTCCCGACATTCTGTTCACTTTTTTTTTACTTCTGCTGCACATTGAGTGGATGTTTTCAGAGAACTATCCACAATGACTCCAAGATCTCTTTCTTGAGTGGTAACACCTGATTTAGACCCCATCATTTTATATGTATAGTTGAGATTATGTTTTCCAATTTGCATTACGTTGCATTTATCAACATTGAATTTCATCTGCCATTTTGTTGCCCGGTCACCCAGTTTTGGGAGATCCTTTTGTAGCTCTTCGCACTCTGCCTGGGACTTAACTGTCTTGAGTAGTTTTGTATCATCTGCAAATTTTGCCATCTCACTGTTTACCACTTTTCCCAGATCATTTATGAATATGTTGAATAGGACTGGGCCCAGTACTGACCTCTGGGGGACACCACTGTTTACCTCTCTCTATTCTGAAAACTGACCATTTATTCCTACCCTTTTGTTTCCTATCTTTTAACCAGTTACCAATCCATGAGAGAACCTTCCCTCTTATCCCATGACTGCTTACTTTGCTTAAGAGCCTTTGGTGATGGACCTTGTCAAAGGCTTTCTGAAAATCTAAGTACACTATACCAACAGGATCCCCCTTGTCCACATGCTTGTTGACCCCCTCAAAGAATTCTAGTAGATTAGTGAGGCATGATTTCCCTTTACACTGACTCTTCCCCAACAAATTATGTTCATCTATGTGTCTGACAATTTTGTTCTTTACTATAGTTTCAATCACTTTGTCCAGTACTGAAGTCAAGCTTAACAGCCTGTAATTGCCAGGGTCACCTCTGGAGCAATTTTTAAAAACTGGGCTATCCTCCAGTCATTTGGTTCAGAACCTGATTTAAATGATAGGTTACAGACTACAGTTAAAAGAACAGGAGTACTTGTGGCACCTAAGAGACTAACAAATTTATTAGAGCATAAGCTTTCGTGGGCTACAGCCCACTTCTGCGGATTCATATGCTGTAGCCCACGAAAGCTTATGCTCTAATAAATTTGTTAGTCTCTAAGGTGCCACAAGTACTCCTGTTCTTTTTGCGGATACAGACTAACACGGCTGCTACTCTGAAGACTACAGTTAGTAATCCTGCAATTTCACATTTGAGTTCCTTCAGAACTCTTGGGTGAATACCATCTGGTCCTGATGACTCATTACTGTTTAGTTTATCAATTTGTTCCAAAACCTCCTCTAATGACACCTCAATCTGGGACAGTTCCTCAGATGTGTCACCTAAAGAGAATGGCTCAAGTCTGGGAATATCACTCACATCCCCCACAATGAGACAACATTTGTAAGGTAATTTCTTTTATAGGCCCAATTTCTACTGAGGACAGAGATAAGCTTTCAGGTTTACACAGAGCTCTTCTTCAGGGCGGGGAGGAGATGCTATGTAGTTCACATTCTAGACGTTCTTTACAATAACCCATTCCTAGGTCTGTAGTCTATGCTCTCCCAAAAAAATCCCCAAGTGCTGCAATCTGTTTTTGTTTTACATAAACCCTAGTCCTGCAAACACTTGCATGGCTGCTTATCTTTAAGTATGTGAGTATTCCCTTTGACATCACACACTTAAAGGTAAGCATGTTTGCAAAATTAGGGCCTCTGTAAGCCTTCTGTGGTAGAGAATGCAGCACTATCTGCTTTGCAAAGCAGCATGCACATTTGTAGTCAATAAACGAAATTAATCATAATTCTCAGTTTTTCTCTAAAAAGACTTCAATGATAAAGTTGTTACTGTATAATCATGCTTTCAAAGATGAAGCAAATGCTACAGCTCAGTGTCCCCACAGGTCTGAGAAAACGCCATTACAGTATACATTTTCAAAATATTCAAAAGCTTGGACTTGTCTCAGTTTTTCCCTGCTGAGAAGTGCTGAGCACCCACAACAGAGCTGAGTGAAAAATTTCCACTGAAAAATCACTGACAAAATGGAAAAATTTGTGAGGGAGGAATAAAGATTTTATCAACAATTTTCTCAAAATTTGAAAAGTTGTGTAGAAAAAATTAGAAAAACAAAATGAAAATTTTCATGGGGAAAAATATTTCCTAGCCAGCTCTATCCAGAACTCCAACTGAAGCCAATTGACACAGGAAATCACATCTTATCTAAACCATATTCTGAGTGTTTCAAGGTAAGTAGAAACATGAGTAAAGCATCCTGGGCTAGATTGCCTATAACAGTCTGCATTTGGGACTGATCCAAGGGACTAGCTGCCCTATCCATGCAAGATAACATATGAATCTCTAAAAAGAATAATGCCTCATGGATATGATTGTGAGACCATGCTAAAAGCCTAATTAGCTACCCTTTAGGTGTGGTTGCTACAAAAGTCGCAGCTTCATATATTGCTGAGAGGGATAGCTCAGTGGGTTCAGCATTGGCCTGCTAAACCCAGGGTTGTGAGTTCAATCCTTGAGTGGCCATTTAGGGATCTGGGGCAAAAATCTGTCTTGGGATTGGTCCTATTTTGAGCAGGGGGTTGGACTAGATGACCTCCTCAGGTCCCTTCCAACCCTGATATTCTATATCCACAGAAATGCTGATTCTTTGTGTTTTTGACATTCCCCAACATACATTTTGCTTTGTTTTCCTCATAAAGTGGAGTTCAGTCGGTTTCCTGTACCTTCTCCCACACTCCTACTCTCAAAATGATAGGAAAGATAGTCTTGTGTTGAAGGCACTGGACTGGGCCTCAGGTCTGTGTTCAAGTTCTGCCTCTACTACAGACTTCCTGTAAATCTTTGGGCAGTCAGTTCTCTCTGGGCCAGTTATCCATCTGTTTATAAAATAAATGGATAATTCTACTTCCCTAAATCACAGGAATTTCTGAAGAAAATTTCATTGATTGTGAGACACTCAAACACTACCATGATGGGGGGGGCAATAAAAATACAAATAAAAACTGGAGATAGCCTTCAAAAATGAGAACAGCATGGAAGTCTGATGGATTTTAAGCTTGATTACCCAGAAAAGGCTAATTGCAAGTATGACCCAGCTACTTTGCACTCCTGTAGGAGAGCACCCAGTGTCAGAAGGGGCTTCACTTTTTCAGTGATCTGGGGTATGGTGGCAGGAGCAAATTCAAGTGATTAAATTCCTGCGTTCAATACAACTATATCTGGGTTTTTGTGCTGACACCTTTTTCTAAGTTATAACAAGCATGGTTGTGCCCATGAAACAGTTATTTTCAGAACAAAATTCATGCATCACCTCTGTTTTGGAGCAGAGTAGAGCAGGACTGGAGACCAGCCAAAGTAGCTTATAAGAGTAGATCCTTCTTTCCTCCTCCATTCTCATACTCCCTACTGATCTGCTTCACCATCTACCCAACCTCCTCCTTGATCAATCCACTGTCATCCCGCTCAAGTCTGCTCCACCATCTTCTTTTCCCCACCCGAGATCTGCTCCTCCGTCTTGTACCCACTCCTGATCTGCTCTGCCATCTCACACCCAGGCCTGACCAACTCCACCCCCGCTCTGCAACCACTCCCCACTGGTTCCAGGGTCTCCTAACAACCACTTTTAACCACCTCTGCCCACTCACTATCCCCACAGCACCAGATCTGTGCTACCCTCCGTCCCCTCCCACACCCTGCTTCTCAGTCCTAACCTCCTTTATCTGCTCCTTCCCCCCCCCATCAACGCCTGCTCGCCTGTCTTCCCCCAGCCGCCAGTGCCCCCCGCCGTCTCCCCCCCCCCCCCTCGGCCCCATCCCCCCGCCCTCAGCCCCCTCTCTCTCCTCCCACTCCTCAGCCCCCCTCAGCCCACTCTCTCTCCTCCCACTCCTCAGCCCCCCCTCAGCCCCCTCTCTCTCCTCCCACTCCTCAGCCCCCCCTCACCCCACTGTCTCTCCTCCCACTCCTCAGCCCCCACGGCTCCTCCCCCTATCCCTCTGCCCACACCCTCCTCCCTTCCCCCCACTGCCCGCTTGCTATCGCTCCCTCTCCTCCGCGCCCTGCCCTGTATGGCTCGGGCAAGGAGGTGGGGGCAGGGCCCGCTGAGGACAAACAGCCCCCGCCGTCCGGCTTCACCTCTCTTTCGCGCACGCGCCAGAGGGCCGCCCGAAGGGAGCGAGCATGCGCAGAAGCCGAGGCGGCTCCCAGGCCCGAAGCCGAGCCCGGGCGAAGTCTCTCCCCCAACTCTTTCTCTGTCGCGCGCGCCCAGACTGGGGCGGGGCCGGCCGCGGCTGGCGCGAGCCTACGGCATTTCCGGGGCGGGGCGTGGGGCGCGGGCTCGCGGCGGAGGGTTGCTGCCGCCGCTCCTCGGCGAGCGCAGAGTTGACTATATATGGTCAAAGCAGGGGAGTAGCGGCGAGCTCGGCGGGCGCTTCCTGCTCTGCAGCTTGGGGCTGAGGCTGGAGCAGGAGCAGGGAGAGGCTGGGCCGCTGCCGCCACCACCGCCTGGGCACCGAGCGCGTCGCCTCCCTCTGGCCGCGGGAACAAGTGGGCGAAGATGCCGTTCGAGAGCAGTAAGTGCGGGGGGCGCCCGGCTGCTTCCCGTGCCACGGAGGGAGCCACCTTCGCGTGGCTGCTGCCGGGGGGTTGTGCGGCGGGTGGCTGGCTCAGGGAGCGCCCGGAGCCGACGTGCCGAGTCAATGGCTCCGGTGCCGCCTGCTCGGGCTCCGGCCGTGCCTGCGCTGCCGCTGCCCCGGGCGGTGCCCGCTCGCCGGGGACCCCCGATAGCCCCGCACGGCTCTCGGTGGATCGCCCGAGCTGTGCTGGGTGCAGAGTGTTTGGTGTCCCGGGCTCTGGGGGCAGCAACAAGTGACTGTTCAGCAGCAGCCACTGGGGCGGCTTGACTTGCTTTTGAACGACGTTTGCTAGGGATGCCCGAAATCAACATCTCTCTCTATATTTTTTTTTTCTTTTTGTAGAAAAAGTGTTTGCCAGCCTCCCCCAGGTTGAAAGAGGTGTCTCCAAAATTATTGGAGGGGATCCCAAGGGCAACAACTTTCTGTATACCAATGGAAAATGTGTCGTCATCAGAAACATTGATGTAATGTATTCTATATTTTTTGTTTTGTTTCATGATGTAGTTCTTTCCTGTACGTTTCTTTTTGGTTTTTCCAGCTGCTCTCCCATAATGAATGGCTTGTTTCTGATACTTTGGAATTTCTATTCAGGTCAGATAGATCTGTGATGAAGAGGGAGGTTGTATGACTCAGGGTATGTCTACACTACAGGATTAATCCGAATTTAGATAATTCGAATTTGGGAAACAGGTTGTATAAATTCGATTGTGCGCGGCCACACTAAGCACCTTAATTCGGTTTTAAACCACATTAATTCGGTGGTGTGCGGCCACACTACCCCATTAACTTAAACACAGTAATTCGGTGGTGTGCGTCCACACTAACCCTAATTCGAATTAACAAAATCGATTTAGGCTCTACTCCGTTCGTCGAGGTGGAGTACAGAAATCGATTTAAAGGGCCCTTTAATTCGAATTAACTGGCTCTGTAGTGTGGACGGGTGAAGGGTTAATTCGGATTAAGGCAGCTAAATCCGAATTAAAGTCCTAGTGTAGACCAGGCCTCAGTCATAAAATTGTGGGCAGGGAAGGGACTACAGAAATCTGTAGAAAATCTCTACAAAATCTGCGTAGTCTCTTCCTCTCATTCCTTTCTGTAGAATTTAGGATCGGATTGGTATGTCATGTCCTGCTTGGCCCTGTTAATATGGTAATACAAATATCTGTATTATGGGGCCTAGGGATCCATTAAAATTGATTTATTAAGTTAATAAATACCCCCACTTCCTGGGCTAACCTGTGTTCTTGGAGAAACACAGTCTTACAAATCGAATCCAGTGCTGTGTAACTTACTGTTTGTTGTATTTGAGAAATCAAAACAGCTCTCAGCTGTTTGATTGAAAGTTTAATATCTGCATATGCAAAGCTCTTAGTCTTAATCCTAGGGAACTTTACTACATATGAAATGTACAAAACAGGTATCTTCAGTAGGTTGTTTCTTATGTGGTGATCAGCAGTGAACTGTGAACAATGTGCCATTTAAGTGGTAATAGTAATAATCAGGCTGCAAAGATTGCATTCTATTGAAATGCATGGGAAAGCTGATTTGTAGAGCTGTTTTAAGAGCTGTTTTATTCTTTTGGGCTCCAGGTTCAATATAGTCTTCAAAATGGCAAATGTACTTTTGCTACTGGAAAATGAGACTCCTCACCCTATTCTCCTTCCTTCTCTCTTCTCTTGCGTGCCCTCCCCCCTCCCCCCCCATGTAATGCAAACTTTATTTCTGGGGTAGGGGGGACATTACAGGTGGGAAGATTATATATCCTTGGAATTTCCAGCTTTCCATGACAATGTTTGTTTCTGACAGTGGTTCTCCAGGATTTTTGGGCCCCCCTCCTCCCCCCCCTTGTTGGGTATATCCAAATCTCTTATCTAGCTGCCAGTGTGCTGAAAGTGCCTTCCGTGACATGGAACCAAATACTAAATTGTTTTCATTTTTTTTTTTTAAAATGTTATCTCGGGTTTCTTGTTTTTAAAAAAAACTTCCTTGCACTCTAGTTTTAATGTTTCAACACAGTTGTGGTCCCACATCTTGGCTAAATGACGACAGCAAAAATGTCCCAGTCTTCTTGAAACCAAAAGTTTCAGCTATGAAGGTAAAATGTTGTAATATGACAGATGCATAGAAAGATATCTGAGCTAGTTGACTTTAAAACTAATACCTAAATCTTTCGGTATGCTATAAAAGTAAGAGTAAACTGGCAGGCAGGGGGAGAGTCTTCTGGTAGTTGTCAGCTGACAGCAGCCTGTTACAAAATTTGTTTTAATAGTCAGTTTTAATGTCACAAAAGCATGCATCATAGTCTTTGGTTCAGTCTGTTGCAATTTAATAGTATAATTAAATGGAAATAATTCTCTCCCTAGTAAAGGACCATGCCTGTACTACCTATTGACCTAGTCTCTGAAACACTCCCCATCAAAAATAGGGAAGCCTAGTCAAATAACTGTACTCCATGTCAACACGAACAAGGGACAGACCCTTGGAGAATACTGCATGTGAGACTTGTACAATAGAATGATAACTCTCTCAATTCCAGCTGGGACTGCTTCATCCTAGTCAACAAACCAGACAGGTTATTGGTGTCTTACAAATCCATTGTCCGGAGTGAAGTACTTGAGGCTAATGAGGATGGTCTCTTAGCTATGACAGAGAAGTCCAAAACTTGATTCAGTACATTAAAGTCTTGGATGTGTGTTGGAAAAGCATTGGTAAGGCAGGAGGGATCAGTGATACTTGGAAGACTTGATATCTCATAAATATTTTACTTCCATTATAGGTTCCTCTTCCTGCAAAGTGTGAGGCAGTTTGAGTTCCAAGCTATCATAAGTAGCTCTGGTTTCAGTGTAAGGGCCACATAAGCTCAATGAATTACCTGAATTCTGTTTTTTTGTATTGTTGAACAGGGCCCTCCCTCTTTTTCCTACTAGCTGGTCCTCTTCAAAGAATGAGTTGATGGGGTTAGATACTGTACCTGCCCCTGAATTTCCATTCATTCCAGTCCTAATTTTTCTGGTCCTGTCATAACTTCTAATTCTAAACAAATGTGTGTGGTTTTTTTTGTTTTTGTTTTGTTTTTTTTTCTTCCCGGTTGGGTGAAAGATGCATGCAAATGAAGGAACTGGCTGTAATTGAAAAATAGTGCTATTAAATGTACAAAGAAAATAAACTGGAAAGAAGACTTCTTTATTTTTGGCATTCATAATCTTTAACAGCAGTAGGTTTAAAAAAAAATCAGAAGCTTGACTGTCTTAAATTCAGTGCCCCTTAAGTCCAGTCTTTATCCACTTGGCTTCAGTGGGCTATTGTAACTCTGCTACAAAACAGGAACAACTCACAATGTCTGCAATAGAATGCAGTATACAGAGAGCCTCCTATAAGTTCAGGAGATGAAACTACAACAGAGGAATATGAAATTGTTTGTCCTGTAGAACTGACATGTTTTGCTTACTTAAATTCAATCACCCAGCAAAATGGAGAGTGGCAGGGAATTGGGTGACTCTTTAAAGTGCAATAATTTCTGACTTGCCAAAGCTAGAAGTGCACTCAACCTGTATAAATGTATTCTAGACCAGAAATAGAAAAGCTTACCCTTGCTTGAGTAAGCTACATTACATCTCTGAGAGACTGATAGCACTGGCAAGAGCAAGACCTTTTCCTGGTAAAAAGCCTGCAAGCTTCCTAATACAGAGTAGGTACTCTAACAGCCCAGTTTCTCCTGAGCACATGATCAAATCCTACCATATTACTTAGTGATTTTTATGATACAGTCGAACACATGTTTGTTTATGAATTACAGCATCAAAACAATTTCACCCACACTTCTTTCCTTTTGACCAAACACAAGTCTTTTTTGGAGATGAAAGGTGAACTGACAAATTGCAGAACAATCAGTCTAAAAAAAATTAATTTCGCTGGTCTGCTGCAATTGAACAGTCATAACTCTTTGGACTAAATATGTTACAACATCCAATAACAAATATAGACCAGTACCTCTTATCTCTTGTATTTTGATGGCACTCTCCTTGATGTGGTGTGGATGATAGAGCTCCTCACTCATCAACCTTCATTCATTCATTGAGTCAGTTTTGTGGTTAAACTTTGAGACATCTGAGCATCTGTTGAATGACCTAAGTGTCTCTTCTGCTCTGGAGTTTTGAAGACCTCTCCAAAGAGAAGCATAAAAGATATAATTGTAACGTCTTGACAATCAATGATGCAACTTCTTCTGGATCCCAATTTTCCTATTGATCGTAGGAATAACTTTTTCTATACTAGCCCTTCTGTTGAAATATGTTTGGGGAAAGCTACTTATAAATTAGCTTCCCCAAAAGACAAGGGTGTTTCAATCCACATTGATTTACTAAGGGCTTGGCTACACTTGCAAGTTAGGGCGGCCGGGGCTGCTTTAATGCACTCTAACCCCTGAGGTGTGTCCACACTGGCAAGACACGTAGAGCACCTGGACTCTGCAGCTGGAGCGCTCCTGGTAATCCACCTCCACGAGAAGCATAAAGCGTGCTGTGCCCTGGCTGAAATGCCCGGGCATCAATGTGGATGGGGTGTTGCATTACTGCGCTGTGATTGGCCTCTGGCAACATCCCATAATCCCCTGAAGTCAAGTGGCCACTCTTCTCATTGTTTTTGAAATCGGCTGCAGGCATGCAGATATCCCCTTTCAAAGCTCCATTTCTGACAGCTGGCATGCTTATCTGCTCTGGGACAAAGCAGACCATTAGTGTGGAATGCTGCTGTTGTGAGAGTGGGGAGGGGGGCTGCTGCTGTCTGAATTTACAAGACAACATGCTGACACACTCTCAGCCACCCACAACACATTCTCTCTCTCTCTCTCTCTTCCCCCCACATACACACAACACACTCTGTCACACTCCACCACCACCACGCCCTGCCCCCCATTTGAAAAGCACATTGCAAGCACTTGCACACTGGGATAGCTACCACAATGCAGTGCTCTTTGTGGCGTTGCAAGAGCTGCTAATGTGACCACGCCAGTGCGCTTGCAGCTGACAGTGTAAACATACAGCAGCATTTTCCCTGCTGTGCTCTCCAAAGGCTGGTTTAACTCCCAGTGCTCTACATCTGCAAGTGTAGCCATCCCTAAGTAATCTCCCGTGCCTGCTGATGCAACTCTTGTAAAATGTCTCTAGTTCTAGCAGTGAAGACTTACAGTATTAATACATCAGAAACTACAAGTGCATATGTTCTGCTAAGCAAGGAGTTGTCTAACATTTTTTTGTTCTAAGGCTTTATAGGCATGTTTTACTGAAGGAACTTTTACATGCTTAGTACTCTACAAAGTAGATCATTACTTTCTCCTCTCTCCTACCCATCTTTCTATACAGTTGTATATATTTACGTGCTTTTATCTTGATTCCTGTTCTGGAACCCTTTCTCTCTGCATTCCAGTGCAACTTAGTCTTTATCAGTCAATGAGTTGCCAACCTCCAGTATTGTGTACAGGTATTTTGGGAATTACGCTAATGTGTGATTGGCCAGTGAGAATATTACTTCTCACTACAGCAGCCATGTTAGACCCTGTATTGTCTGTCACACTAAACAGTAAGTTCCCACTGATCAGTGGGAAGTTTCGCTTTTGTTGTTCTCCCTTCCCCTTTATTTTAGATGGGATTTAAGTATCTCCAGTGCCTCAGTTTTGATTCTCTTTGAAACCCACAAACGTCATTTTGTAACTTTTTAATTCTGTTTTATCTATAGAATCCAGCAATTGCTGATATCTATACTGAGCATGCCCATCAAGTTGTGGTTGCCAAGTATGCGCCCAGTGGATTCTACATAGCGTCTGGAGGTAAAGTATCAGAACACATTCTGGTATGAGCTATGGGACAGGACTGCTAAAATGCGTAGGTTAAAACTTAGTGGCACAGACTTTAGGTATACAGCTTGAACATATGTAGACTACGTAATACATATTTAACAAAGCTGAAACAAAAATAAGTATTTTTTTCCTAACCATGGGCCATTAATGTTAAACTTGTCTCCTCATGGAGGAGGGAGCATAGTGTATCATTTCTTTTTGAAGTGATACTTTAGTTTAAATCCAAAATGTATTTTAATATATTCTAAACTTAATAATTTTATATGTCTATGTAAAAGTTTAACTTATTATAAACAGTCCTTTAGCTATAGTGAATGACTTGTTCATGCATCAGCATTAGGAGTGAACTGTGGAATTTTTAATTTTGGTTTTTGCTCTTTACAAGTTCTCTAAACTGTAAATACGGTATCAAATTTTGTCTTTAAAATGAAATTCTGCCACTGGCGCGCGTGTGCGCTCGCTCTCTCTCTCTCTCTCTCTCTCGCTCTCATATGCACACAAAAAGGTCCTCATCTTCCTTGTTGCTGGCCTGATCTCTCTCAGGGCTGTAAACTGAACTGCAGTTTTCACTGCAGCAACTTAGCAGGGAAAGGATGCTGATTCTCAAACTATGTTTGTGTAAAGATTCTATGAAAACAGTGAGAATGAACCCAAACTTTGAGAATCTACACTAAACAAAGCTCTTGCTGCCTCATCTGGCTTCTTGGCAGAAACTAAAATTTATTTTTGATACTGTTGTATAAACAAGGAAACAAACCTATATTAATGCCATGCTCCATTAGAGAATTGATCTTTGTCAGATGAAAGGACAAAAATCAATAAGGGAAACTTTAAAGATGGGAAGTGTTGGAGAACAAATATTAATAAACTAAAAGTACTTTTAAAAATCTTTTTAAAGAAAGATATAGATATATATAGATATATAACACTTTCATGGTGGCTGTATCGACAAGTAAGAAACTTCTTAACTTGAATTCAAGCCCCTAACTTGTCTTCATATTTATTTTTCAATAAGTTCCCAACCCGTTTGGTTGAAAATAAAACCTTCCAAATGTGAACACATGCCAAATTGACTTCTGGAGCCTGCAAGATTAAGTTTACTCCAGGCCGGAATCCTGACTCCAGCAGGGTTCCTGAGTAGCCTCACAGCACTGCCAAGATCTCATGGGCCAGGTTATGGCTGTAGAACCACTCCATGGCTTTGGATCTAGTCTCAGATCTCCAGGTCCTTCACCTCCATAGAGGTTCTATCAGCTTTTTCCTCAAAGCTGAGCTGTGCACAGGGAGTTTCCATGAAACCAGGTTCCACAGAACGTTGGGTGTGCATATCCTTTGTACATACTCTCGGCTCCTAAATAGAAGAGCCAGTATGGACCTGCTATGAGAGTGTGCTCTTACAGCCATGTTGAGTGGGGCACATCTCTGCATTAATCTCCCAGTGGGACCATCTAAATTCATTCATTCTCATTCTCTCTCTCTCTCACATACATATTGAGAGAGCCATTTTGAAAGTCTAATAGATAGATATCTTGAATTTGTGGGAAGTTTCAGTGACTCTCCCTCCCCCCACCCCCGTGAACCCCTCCATGTAGATACTAAGCTTTGCACATATCTTTTGAGCTCAGATGGGGAGTGTAAAAGGTCTGGGTAGTGCAGCCTTGTAAAATAGTCTGTATCAAAGGCATGGCTTTCCTGGCACCAGTCCATGTGTTTGTCAAACTGGTTCCTTTTAAAATACTGTGTTTGGTGTCCCCCAGCCCCAAACCCAGCACTTTTGGGTTTGTTCTATGTTGATACTTCACTTTACCCAAGTGCCCATCTACTTTATTCTTATTAATAGGCAGGGCATTGGAAATATAAAATTCCACTCTGAGGGACTCTGAACAGTAGTGTGTGAGGTGCCCCCACACACACACACACACACACACACACACAGTGAGATCAGTGCTGCATTTTCCTTCAATTGTGGTCTGGTTGGAGAAGCTGCTAAGCACAGATCATTATTTAGTGAGTCTGCTTGCAGGGGCATCTGAGCCATCACCCATCCTACCACATACTCAGTGTTTGACAGTTGGGGTAGCAAAAGTCTTCCCCTGAACTTTTTTTTTGGTATGCAACCTGTAAGTATCTCGCCACTCCACTGAGCACAGATTAAAAGCATACATTTAACCTTTAAGTATGTCAGACTGTTGTGGTTTTTTTTGGTTTAGGTACAAAATACTTTTAAATTTGAAGCAATTGTGCATTAAGTCTTAAGTGTCACTATGAGAAGCATCCATGCCTGCATTTTCCCCCTAGATATTGCTGAGCTGAATTAGATAACCCAGGGGAAAAGAGGCCTGCACACTTCTTATGCTAGTGTTCCCACCATTGCTACTACAGCAGTAGTGAAATGATGCGGGGGAGGAATAACAAAATACTAATGTAGACATTGTTGTCTTCAAGTGATACTTCAGTGGGCGGGGTACAGGACTGGGACTCAGGAATAATGGTTTTGAATCCAGGCTCAATAACCAACTTTTAGGTATTCTTAGAAAAACCACTTAATCCACCTCGTGTTTCTTTCCCTATCTGTAAAATAGGGATAATAAGTCCCTACCTCACATCATGGGTGTTATGAGGGGCCAGATACTAGATTGAAGAGGACCATATAAATACACAGAACTTTAAATACACGAGCTGAATTCTGGTGGGTGGAATAGATTACTACCTTCTGTCCTTAATATGCAAACTTTTTCAAAACTGCCTTTTTTAAAGGCCTGATATAAAAACACAGAGTAAATTTGTATTACAAAAGACTAAACCTGTCTGAATTACAAAATGTTCTACTTGTGTGACGTTCCCATCTGGTGTTATCTGGACCGCTGATCTGCTAGATCACTCCAATCCTTGACTCCGGGAGCCAGCCTTTCCCTGCTCTGCTGTGAGAATCCCCACTCCTGGGCTGTTCACACACAGCCTCTGGCATGTAAGCTGCTCCTCGGATTGTGCAACTGAATGACACTAGCCAATATCTCCGGTCCCAGACACAATCCTAGGAATCTCCATCTTGCAGTATCCAGTTATGCCCACTGGACACTGCAAGCTTCTATGAGTTCGTCAGTTTAAGAAAGAAATTTATATGTATCAGGCTTGTTATCCTGAGGGGAGCCTCTGACACACTTCATACCGAATGCACTGCTTCAGGTAGAATAAACAAATTTATTAACTATAAAGATATGTTTTGACTTATCACTTAAAACCTAAGTCAAATTTGGTCAAATGAAATAAAAGCAAAACACATTCAAAGCTGATCTTAACACTTTGAATGCTCTTACAAACTTAGATGCTTCTCACCACGGGCTGGCTGGTTGCTCTTCAGCCAGGCTCTCCCCTTTGATCAGCACTTTAGTCGCTTGGTGTGGTGTCTGTAGATGTAGGTGGGGGAGAGAGCGTGGCAAATGTCTCTCCCTTTTATCATGTCCTTTCTTTC